ACCTTCCATTTTTCTGGTGCACTGTTTGTTTGTTTTTCTTCTTTGCTGATTTTGCATCCCAGGTATTCAGTTATAACTGCAGCTGTGCTGTCCATTAGTTGGTTTGTTTCTTGCAGTGAATTGGCGCTTATACTTGATATTGCAGTATTTGCATCTTTTAATGCTTGTGCTAGCTGTTTCTTTGGAACAAGCTTCAATGTAGGCAGCTTTATTCTGTTGTTTTTGTACTGTTCTAGATGCTCAATTATTCTTTGTTTCAATTCTTTTATTTCTTTAGTTAGAGGGTTTTGTTCTTCCTGAGGAAGAGATGCCTGGTTTCCAAATGAGAACAGTTGTATATCTCTGCTGGATTCCTTCACTGCCAACTCCCCCTGGTTTTCCTCTATATTCTGAATTTTTTTCTGATTTCTTTGCCCTGAGTAAACCTTTGCAATTTGTCCAATTCTGTTTCTGTGAATACTTTATTTCGTATTATAAATCGGTGTTGATCTACTAGTCTCTGTTCTGTTATTTCTGATTCTGGATGTTGTTCCTTCCAGAACTGGTGCATTCATTTTAGATATCCTCTTCTTGTTGGACTTGATCTTTAGTAACAGATCATTATTTCTTTGTTTTCCATCACTGTGTATCTGCGACGGGTAAACATCTTTTCTTCCAGTAGTTCTGCAGCTGCTGGCCCTGGTTTCTCAGCCAACAGTCCTGAGTCCTGTAACCCATTTTTCACCAGATATCCAGGAACTCCAATATCTAGCGCGGACCTTGTTAACCCGGGCGACATCCGAGCCGGTATGGCATTCTGTAATTTACGTCTCACCATATTTTTTTATGGGAGAGACACTCTTTGTCTGACTCCTCTGACTCCTCTGACGAGATCTATCCAGTATGGTTGAACATCTAGCATAGCTCAAGTCAAAATTGAGAAGACAGCAACAGAGAGTAAGTGCCGCCTATCCAAAGAAGCTGAAGAAAGAATGGACCACTTGGTAAGCTGTTGCAAGAAGATTGCACAGACTGACTACAAGCACCTGCAACATAACACCCAAGACTTAACAATTGTCGATAAGAAAGACAAAAAAAGTCTGGATAATGGACGTGGCAGTGCCTGGAGACAGCAGAATAGAAGAGAAAGAACTGGAGAAGATAACAAAATACAAAGACCTACAAATACAAGTAGAAGGACTGTGGCAAAAGCAAGCAAGAGTAGTACCAATAGTAATAGGCTCCTTGGGTGCAATTTCAAAACAACTGGAGCACCACTTGGACACCATTGGCATTGACAAATTCGCTATTAGTCAATTGCAAAAGGCGGCCTTATTAGGAACTGCTTCCATCCTGCGACGATATCTGTAATACCATCAAACATCCACATCTGCCTATCCCAGGTCCTGGGTAAGGACTCGATAGGTAGACAAAATGCCAAATCCAGTCTGAACATCTGGCTGACTGTGCGATGATCCATAATAATAATAAGTTGGAAGGGACCTTGGAGATCATCTAGTCCAACCTCCTGCTCAAGCAGGAAACCCTATACCATTTTGGACAAATGGCTGTCCAGTCTCTTCTTAAAAACTTCCAGTTTTGGAGCATTCACCGCTTCTGGAGTCAGATTGTTCCACTGGTTAATTGTTCTAACTGTCAGGAAGTTTTTCCTTAGTTCTAGGTTGCTTCTCTCCTTGATTAGTTTCCATCTGTTGCTTCTTGTTCTGCCTTCAGGCACTTTAGAATGTAGTTTGACTCCCTCTTCTTTGTGTCAGCCCCTGAGATATTGGAACACTGCTATCATGTCTCCCCTCATTCTTCTCTTCATAAAACTAGACATACCCAATTCCAGCAACTGTTCCTTATATGTTTTAGCCTCCAGTCCCCTGATCATCTTTGTTGCTCTTCTCTGTACTCTTTCTAGAGTCTCAACATCTTTTTTACATCACGGTGACCAAAATTGGATGCAGTATTCCAAGTGTGGCCTTACTAAGGCATTGTAAAGTGATACTAACACTTCAAGTGATCTAGATTCTATCCCTCTGTTAATGCAGCCCAGCACTGTGTTGACCTTTTTGGCAGCTGCAGCACACTGCTGGCTCATATTTAAGTGATTGTCCACTAGGACTCTGAGGTCCCTCTCACAGTTACTATTATTGAGCAAGGTACCCCTATACTATACCTATACATTTGGTTTTTCTTGCCTAAATGTAGAACCTTACTTTTTTCACCGTTGAATTTCATTTTGTTAGATAGTGCCCAGTGTTGAAGTCTGTCCAGATCCTCTTGTATCCTAAGCCTGTCTTCTGGAGTGTTGGCTATTCCTGCCAGCTTGATCCCAATAGACTGTTTCTCTAAAGTGCAATCCAAGATATTGATCTCCCTCTTTCTTAAATAATTGTCATTCAAAATAATAGATGTACTACATCTTCTATTTCTGGAACTCCACAAATACAAGTATATTCATTGTAAGGAGTTTGGAAGATTCAACTCAATACTTGGAAGGTACATTTGTAGCAGCTGATGCCTTTCAGTGTGCCAGCCTTACTGAAGACGCCCTACTTTTCTCTATTTTAACCATCCTGGATTCTCTCTGCAGCATTTTTTTAGGTTTTTCTCAAGTGGCAAAAAAGACAGGCAGATGACAGTTCCCAATATAAAATGAAGAATGTTTTAAATGAAATTTGTTTGTTCTAATAGCATTTGGGCACTCTTATTAGTTTAACAAAGGGAAGGACGAGGGGTGACATGATAACAGTGTTTAAATATCTCAGGGGCTGCCCCAAAGAAGAGGGAGTCAAGCTCTTCTCCAAAGGACCTGATTGCAGGATGAGAAGCAACGGATGGAAACTAACTAACTAATTAACCAGTGGAACAACCTTCCTCCAGAAGCTGTGAATGATCCAACACTGGAAGTGTTTAAGAAGAGATTGGACAGCCATTTGTCTGAAATGGTATAGGGTTTCCTGCCTGAGCAGTGGGTTGGACTAGATGACCTCCCAGGTCCCTTCCAATATCATCATCATCATCACTATTATTACTATTGTTATTATTTTCCATACCATTAATTTTAATAAAAATATTTATATACCCCAATTTTATAAATTGTATAAATTCCCAATTCTGCTCTGAGGGCAGCAGTTGAAGTCCTTTCATCCACCCTCAAGATACTTCTCAGATATGTGATCTAATTTGTTCTAATAGTGATATAAATTAAATCCCAAAGTTCAGCTCAATATAAGTGCATAATAGTAACGGTGGTATTTTGCATTTAATAATCCAGTCTAAGGAAGCTGCATACCTATGAGTTTTTTTTTTAAAAAATTAACAGTGCATTCACTTGTGCCTTCTAAGTGAGCTCCTTTGATGTTGAGGGAGCCCAGATCCAGTCCCAGAGAAAATTCCCCCAGGTAAGGAAAGGTGTGAACTTGCTCTGTTGCCTCCTCATCGATTAGCCCTATAGGGCAATGCTGTCATTTTCCAAGAACCATCACTTTTGACTTTGACTCATCTAAAATCAGATAATTATTATGAGAATAGGATCCAAGTCCTCTTAACAGCACATGCAACCCAAATGTCATATTGGCATCACCTTTTTCTTCAGTTTTGGTACATATCAATCCTACTTCTCATGGCTCCATTGAGCCCCAAACACACTCTCAAGCAAGTGAACAAAAATGGGATGGAAGGGACTATGGAGTGTTCCTCAATTATTTTTAAACCTAAATTTAAGTCCTAGTCTCCACTTATTTTATTATTCTCTACCTTACTTAACTTGATTACTAAACAACAAGTCAGTTTGCATCTGTGCTTTCCTCATTACCGTTGCTGCACCCACTCATTACATAAAGTAATTGTCCGTTTCTTGGGAAATAGCAGGAGTTTGACATTATTTCAAGGTTTCAAGGCACTTCCACAATTTCCTCATTAACTGCTTTCTGTGGCTCTTGGGCAAAGAACCACATAATTAAATATGAATTTCCTTTCTTTTTAGGGCTGCCAATTTTGCCATTTTCAGTCTCACTGGTCTCCTACTCTTTAGTGCACCTGTGGTTAATTGATTTGTAAGTTTGCATGTTCATCTTCTATCAGGTCCTGTATCAAGGCTATTTGATGGGAGTCCACAGAAATTGGCTCCAGCCCTCAAGGCAAAGCTTAGGAGATATGGCTCAACAACCACCTTTTCCACTCATTGCTGGGAACTTTCAACCCATTGCTCACCAACAACCAGGCTCAATATTGACTCCCTGAGAGACCCTCCAAGGATGCTTTTTCACTGCAACAATTCTTTGCATCTTGATTACTTAACATTTTCTGTATTATATTTCTGCATCTAACACAGAAATTGTTAAATTTTTCAGTGGGGTTTTTTTGTTTTCTATTCTTCTCATCCTTCACTGTAAGGATCCTTTCTCAGAGCAATTGTATTACAGATTGGGAGAAGAAAAAAAGAGAGAAGAGAAAAAGTTGTTGAAAAATAGGCAAATGTTGAAAAGTCATGTTTAGTTTGTGAAACTAGGATGATTTTATATGTAACTAAGTCTGAGTGTTTTGTTTTGTGAAAACAGATTTTAAGTTACTGTGTTATTCAGGGCACGGGAAAATGCTTGTGCTTCACTCTGAAACCATCTCTAAATCTCTACAGCATCCATGGCAACTGGATGCGACACCTGAGAACCAACAGAACTTACAGAATAACCGAGTTGGCAGGGACCTGCTAGTCCAATCCCATGCTGAAGCTGGAAAGCCCTACACCATTCCAGACAAATGGCTTTGCAAATTATTCTTAAAAACCTCCAGTGATGGAGCACCCAAAACCTCTGGAGCCAAACTCTCACAGTTACTGCTATGGAGCCACATATCACCTATTCTATACCTGTGCATTCCTTTTTTCTTGCCTAAGTGTAAAGCCATATTGTTCTCACCACTGAAATGCAGAGATAAGTAATAAAAAAATATGGCCCCCATGAGATCCTTTGTAACTGAAGCAGCAGGAAACATTCAATGTAACCAACACTCACAGCTTTTGGAACCCAGTTCTCCTTCTCAATTTCAGTTGATCTTCTGTGTCTCACAGGACTCCTAATAAGGAGTGGTAAGGCCACACTTGGACTTCTGCCTCCAGTTTTGGTCACCACAATGTAAAAAAAGATGTTGAGACTCTAGAAAGAGTACAGAGAAGAGCAACAAAGATGATCAGGGGACTGGAGGCTAAAACATATCAGGAACAGTTGCTGCAATTGGGGATGTCTAGTTTAACGAAGAAAAGGACGATGGGGGGACGTGATAGCAGTGTTCCAGTATCTCAGGGGCTGCCACAAAGAAGAGGGAGTCAAGCTATTTTCCAAAGCGCCGGAAGGCAGGACAAGAAGCAACGGGTGGAAACTAATCAAGGAGAGAAACAAGTTTAAGTTTTTGAAGAAACTGGACAGCCATTTGTCCGAAATGGTATAGGGTTTCCTACCTTGGACTAAATGACCTCCAAGGTCCCTTCCAACTTTATTATTATTATTATTATTATTATTATTATTATTATTAACCCTCAACTAAGACTGCAGGGATATTTCCAACTCTGCATATATTCTCTGTCTTCAGAGAAATAGAAATCACCTGGATGAGGGAGGAATACTTCAACGAAAGCCAAATCAGTCTGTGCTTCATCTGAGTGCCACAAAGACCCACCAGGAAGCAGAGCAGCTGTTTTCCCAAAACCCACCCATAAAAATGTGTCGCCCATGATAGCAGTGCCAACCCCAGATTTCCACCACTTACTTCTAAGGGCTCTTCCCATAGTCCAGCCATTGGTGAACCTGGCCGAGCATTATCATCGTGGACTGTAGAGTTTGGGCAGCAATTCAGTAAGGAATTTTCTTTGACCCATTCAGACACTGCAAGTCCTGAGCCTCCCATCTTTTATAGCCATAGCAGGTTAGATGTTCAACTAAGTCTGCTGCTCTTCTCAGGGCTTTTGTAACAGCTAACAAACAGGAGTGTTTCAATACAAGGAAGATGCACCGTTGCCTTAGGTAAGAACTATTTTGCAACAGTTCACTGAGGTGATATGATGCAATCATTACAACTCCATAAATAGAGAGCCAAGTCTGTCCAAGGAGTAAGATTTTGTCCAGAACCAGTCTCAGCATGAAGATCCTTTATCTGCTGTTCGCATTTCTTTTCCTTGCATTCCTGTCTGAACCAGGTAAGAAATAAAATTACTGATAATTTACAAAGGATTGGTAATTCACACCTTTTTAAATAAATACGAATATCACTGAAAGCAGGATAATCTCCAACATCTTTTTGTTTTACTTTACAGAAATAGCTTTGAACAGTATAGACAATTGACAACATGAGCCTCCAAAGATTTGAAAAATATGCCATTGATTTTTCTTTTGATTCACAATTCTTGAAAGAACTTTATTGGGGTTTTTGTTATTGTAGCTTATTTTTGTTGATTTGCTTCACTTTAACATTGGTTTACCAAATTCTCAGCTCAGTCAAGGTCTTCATCCAAAACACACAATGCAATTGGCCACTGTAACTCAGCAAGGATCCTTGGCAATATTGGAGAGAAATATATCACAGTAAGGTCTATTCTTCATATGAAATAGAATTATTTCTTCCCTCCTACATTAATAGATGTAGGCTTACCAGCTAATTCATCTTTGAGTCAGACTTCAAACCTGGGTTAATGGCTGATTTATTTGAGCTGCTGCAGGAGATCAGCAGAGATGGATCTGTGTGGTCAGAGAAAACTTGCTGTAGTCCTAGGAATCCTGGAATTCCTGGAAGGATGCTTCCATTCCCATCTTGGATGAACGGTTACAAAAGCTGATGGAGTTAGCAGAGATGGCTAAACTGACAGTTTTGATAAAAGAAAAGAATATAAGTACTTTTGTTTGTACTTGGATACTGCTTCTGGACTTTGTGTTATAATTTGCTATAACTTGTGCTATAATTTGCCATAATTTGTGCTATAATTCTATAATTTCACACAGTCTCATTCTTCCCTTTTGGTTTATTTATTTATTGTAGTGATTACTTTGCCACTGATGTCTTCCAGCTAATGTAGTTGCTTGGGCAGAAATAGTATAAAATCAGATTTAAGCTTTTCACTAAGATCTTGGAAAGAAGCAGAAAAAAAATTCTTAAGATTATTTTTTCTCAAGTTAAATACCATTTTGAATACCATTTAAATACAACTTAGAATAAGAATGACTTTGTCTGATGACTTAATATCAGCACAGCCTGGATCTTGATAAAGATAAATATGCCATTGATTTTTCTTTTGATTCACAATTCTTGAAATAACTTTACTGAGGTTTTGTTAGGGACCTCGGAGTCCTAGTAGACAATCACCTAAATATGAGCCAGCCGTGTGCTGCAGCTGCCAAAAAGGCCAACACAGTGCTAGGCTGCATTAACAGAGGGATAGAATCAAGATCAGGTGAAGTATTAATACCACTCTTCAATGCCTTGGTAAGGCCACACTTGGAATACTGTATCCAGTGTTGGTCACCACGATGTAAAAAAGATGTTGAGACTCTAGAAAGAGTACAGAGAAGAGCAACAAAGATGATTAGGGGACTGGAGGCTAAAACATATACGGAACGGTTGCGAGAATTGGGTATGTCTAGTTTAACGAAGAGAAGGCCAAGGGGGGACATGATAGCAGTATTCCAATATCTCAGGGGCTGCCATAAAGAAGAGGGAATTAAGCTATTTTCCAAGGTACCTGAAGGCAGGACAAGAAGCAATGGATGGAAACTAATCAAGGAGAAAAGCAACCTAGAACTAAGGAGAAACTTCCTGACAGTGAGAACAATTAATCAGTGGAACAACCTTCCTCCAGAAGCAGTAAATGCTCCAACACTGGAAGTTTTTAAGAAGAGACTGGACAGCCACTTGTCCGAAATGGTGTAGGGTTTCCTGCCCGAGCAGGGGGTTGGACTAGATGACCTCCAAGGTCCCTTCCAACATTACTACTACTACTACTACTACTACTACTATTACTATTACTATTACTATTATTATTATTATTATTGTAGCTTATTTTTTTTGGTACGCTTCACTTTAGTATTGGTTTACCAAATTCTCAGCCAAATATGTTTTGTTTGAATAAGGAGGCACAATGGAGAAACAGTTTGGTCTAGTGATTAGAGCAAAACACGACAACTCTGGGTACTGAGTTCTAGTCCCACCTTGGGCCTGAAAGCTGACTGAGTGAATTTGGCTAAACTGACAGTTTGATAAAAGAAAAGAATAAAAGTACTATTGTTTCTACTTGGAAACTGCTTCTGGACTTTGTGCTTGAGGTGGAAAAAAATGATACTATGATTTTGGAGTTTACTGATTAGACTGATTTGTTGATAGAGAAATGACTAGTTCACACTAATACAGAAATGCAAAAAGTTGAGATTCGATTTTCATGTCTTATTTTACTGCAACAGGGAATCGGAAGTCAACGCCTTTTGTTTCTTCCCCCAACTTTCCACATTTTCCCTTTTCCTATTGTTTTTCCTTACTATTTGCTTTTTATTTTGATATTTTTATGTTCTAAATGAATAAAAATATAAATTGATAAAGGAATCCTGCAGTTCTGTAGAAGAAGGTAGTGTCTTGGAAGGGAAAATATATTTAAATATTAAGGAATCTTTACTCATCGTTTACGTGTCTCCTCTTTTTCTTTTCATAGGGAATGCCCAACCACGGTGTCGTCGTCTAGGAGGAAAATGCTTTCGCAAACGATGTCCTCCGAAACATGTTTATCTTGGGCGGCAGGACTGTTGGCAGCGACGGAGGTGCTGTAAAAGGTAAGAAAACTCTCCTCTAATAGAAATACTACAGATACAGTACATAATGAGATGCTCTGCCTGATATTGTTTGCATTCACAAAGCTTTGCAAAGCAAAGAATTGACTTTAAACTCACTTTGATCAACTTATTATTTTTTTCTCATTTGTATAGTGAAATTGGAAAATAATGCCATCTCCATCTACGACCATGGATATCTTCAAGACATGGCCAATGACCTGAGAGTGCCGCCTGCTATCACTTTATCTTTCTTTATATAAATCAAATTGCTACCCATCAAAGTCTAAAACATTTGTGGGGGGAGAGAGAGAGGGGGGGAGGGAGAGAGAGAAAGAGGGAGGGGGGAGGGAGAGGGAGGGGGAGAGAGATGGAGGGAGGGAGGGAAAGAGAGAGAGAGGGAGGGAGGGGGAGGGGAGGGGGAGAGAGAGGGAGGGAGGGAGGGAGGGAAAGAAAGAGAGGGAGGGAGGGGGAGGTAGAGGGAGAGAGGGAGGGAGGGAGGGAGGGAGGGAGGTGTTGCCTGCTCTTCAACCACATATTATGCTATAATTTCACACAGTCTCATTCTTCCCTTTTGGTTTATTTATTTATTGCTTTGCGATTACTTTGCCACTGATGTCTTCCAGCTAATGTAGTTTCTTCGGCAGAAATAGTATAAAATCAGATTGATTCACTAAGATCTCGGAAAGGAGCAGAAGAAAAATTCTTAAGGTTATTTTTTCTCAATTGAAATAGCATTGGATACAACTTAGAATAAGAATGACTTAATATCAGCACAGCCTGGATCTTGATAAAGGAAATGAAGATGCAGCAATAGGAAATCTGCAAGAGAGAGAGGATCCTTTCCTGGCCCAATCTTTTTGTTAAACAGACAGACCAACAGATGTTATGAAATTGATTTTAGATACCATCTAAACAAATAAATAGATTACACAATAAAACCACATTATCAGAGGGTGAGTCACATAGGACCTGATGCAGACAAACAAACACAGCCAACTTGTGAGGGATACTATTGTGGACACTATTACACCTATGCTAATAAAGGGGTGTGATCTAACAATGTACACAGGTGAAAACATAATTTGCACAACCAGTATCCATACAAGCCTGAACCTATCAATTCCTCCCCCCTCTCAACTTTCATTCACACAATTTCTACTTCTTTTATTGCAATGTCTACATTTATAAGGGGATGTAAATATTTAACTTGTGGCATAAATCATCCTATAAAATGTTAAAATCTCAACTATGAATCAGACTTCACTGAAAATAATTATTAAAATACAAATAGTAATTACCAAAGTAGGTCTAACATATATCCATTCTTTATTAACCTTTTAATGCAGTATTTTTTACAACACAGGCAGGGTACACGTAACACAGAAATCAGCTAGAAGCATCATGGCAGTTCTAAAGCAAAGGATCTTCACAGCTTGACACTTTATTGTTAAACAACATGTCAGTTTGTTCCCATTTCCCTCTCGGCACATACAGTACTCATTACACAAGATAATTGTTTCTGGGGTAACACCAGGAGCTCAACATTATTTCTAGACTTCAATGCACTTTCAGAAATACAGCTAGCCTCTACCTGCTCCCTGCGGTTCTTGGGCAAAGAACTACATTACTAATAATTGACTTTCTTTTCAGATTGGCTAGTTTTGCCATTTGTAGCCTCACTGACCCACTAATAATCACTGCCTGTGAGGGCAAGGTGGGCAGGGGGAGTCCTCAGAAAGGGGCTCCCCCCTCAAGGCAAAGAGCCCTTTCTAACTCCAGTTCTGTCACTGGGAGGGAGAAGAAAGGAGGTTTGGGTCTAGTAAACCCTGCAATGTTCTCCTCTCTTCTCCAGCCCTTCTTGTTCAGCTGAGTCAAAGAGTCCAACGGAAGAGTGAGAAATTCCTACACCTGCTGGCTCTTCCTGATGATGCAAGGAACTAAGCCTGTTGCTCCTGTACATCAACACATACGTCCCCGAGTTCCCCCAGGTGGCAGCCCATAATTATGTTCCAGGAAAATATGGGGTAGCCGTATTTAGTTTGCATCTAAGGTGATGTTGACTGCATAACGATTTCATAATAGTGTGAAGAGAGGCATTATGTTGTAAGGTTTTGAGACTGTTCCTCCACCGACCTAGTCTTTATGTGCCCCAAATGAGGAGTGGGAGGGAGACAAAATCAGCCCTTGGAGATCGAAGCCACGGGAATCCTGCAGAAGCAGCCTGGATGGCTTCTGGAGGGGGCAAGGCTCAGTGGGAGAGCTATCTAGGGGCATCTAGGGGTGCTGGGGAGAAGGGAGGGGTCTTCCACTCAGAGTTGCCCCCTTGATCTTTCCTCTCTCCCGCAGAGCTGCTCTCCCTCCCTCCCCCCTGATGGCAAATGTTTCCCACACCAGGAATGGCTTCGGCTGGACTTTCTGCTCTGGCCCCAAGAGGCCCTGGGGAAGAGACCCTTCCCAACACCCCCTGCCCAGGAGCCCTCAGACCAGGGAGATGGACATCAGGGTGACCTTCCCAGAGATCAAGGCCATTGGCCACTGGACCACTCAGGGCCTTTTTTGAGGGGGGGTCTCAGATGAGCTCCGGTTGGGGGCCACACGTGAGATTCGCACAGGACTCTCTCTGTTGGGGACCCTCTGCCCAACCTTCAGCCCAACTCCCTGCCTTGGGATGATTTTCGAGATTCAGACTTGTTTCCTCTCCCCCTCCCCCAAAGCCCCCCTGCAGCTGCCCCCCCAGAGCATCTCAAAGGGAGGGTCTCCAGCCCCCCTCACGATAGGGATTGTTTTGGGGAGCCATAGGGGAGCCATTCAGAGCCCCCCCCCAAATGCTCCTCTCTCGCTTCCCCCCTCCCTCCAGGTCCCGATAGAGCAACGGGGGATTATGGGGTGGGGGTTTCTCGGCCTCCTCCCCAAATTCAGAGCCTCCCCCGGAAGGGACCGAAGCTCAACTCCGGCCTGACTTTGAAAGCCTCAAATTTGAGATTTGGGAAGAAAACTTGAAGTCTCTGAAGAAGGAAAAATACTTTGGCCAAAATGCAGCTTTTTCCTTGTGTGGATTCAGGTCTGAAAATGCCTCAGTTTCCCTCTTTCGCTTTCGCTTTCCCTCCCCTTCCTCTTTCCACGCAGCCGCTCCGACTCGGCCATTTTGGAGGGGGGGCGATAGAGTGGCCCGGCTGCGACTCCCCACCTCTGCTGCAATCGGGAAAGAGGGGGTCCCTCTCCGCCCTCCTGGGGGGGGGAAGTGGGGAGGGGAGGGGGAGGAGACCACGCAGAGATCGAGGCTGTCGCCGGCTCCCGTCACTCTTACCCCCTGAAGAGCTAGCAGCTTTCTTCCCCCTCTCCGCCCCCCACGAGTCTCGGCGGTGCTTCCCAGCCCCCTCCTCCCCCAACCCTCCTCCTCCCCCCGCCCAGCCCCCTCCTTACCGGGGGTCTCCTTCCCCCCTTCGCTTCCGGGGATCCGGGCCAGCGCCCCCGCCAGCAGCAGCAGCAGCACCAGGGGGAGCCCAGCGGAGCCCATGGACGCCGCCCCACAAGCGCCCCCAGAGAGACCAGAGACAGAGACGCGGAGGCTCCCAGCCCCAGAGGCGGAATCGGGGGGTCTGGCTTGGGGGGCGAGGGGGCGTTTCCCTCGAACTTCGGAACTGGGAGGGCCCAGAAGAAGCAGGAGGACCAATCGGAATTCTCCCTTCCGCCGCGTCATCAATCTCCGGGCAGAGCCTCCCTTGACTTCACCCGATGGAGGAGACAGTTCCGCGCAGAGGGAGAAGCGGGGAAGCGGAGAGGGGGGGGGGATTTTATGGGGGGAGGAATCAGCCCTGGGACCCCCTCCCCAGAATCGATCCTCTTGAGGTCGGCTCCGTTCCTCTGGGTGGGAGTGGAGGGGATATTTTGCCAGAAGAAGAAGAAAAAATCCATATCCATGGACTGGATCTATAAGAGGATCCGAGCGGGTGGCTACATAAATATGTTTAATAAATAAAATGACATTTTCAAAATAAAATAAAATAAAATAAAAATTTAAAAATAAATAAATAAAAAAAAATAAAAAATAAGAGGATCCGAGCAGGTTTTCTCCCTTGTGAAAGATCTCAATACTATTTTAAGAAGGAGGGAGGGAGGGATGGATGGATGGATGGACAGCATATTGAACCAAAGAATAAATTTATAATTTATAAAATAACCCGGACAGTGGATAGAAATTCTGTGGACTTCAGTAATTCTATATACCCTCAAGTATAGGATTACAGCCTTAAGCATTAAAGTCTGAAAACCTTCCCCCCCCCCCCAAACTATCCCAAAAACCACACATTCTCTTTTTTAATGTTTCACTACATCCATGGAAACCATTTTTTCTACGACATTCTGGTTGTGGTCAGTTACACAAAGGCGGGTCAGGCAGATCCTCCATTCCCGATTCTGTTCAAAAGAGCTTTGGGGGTCCAGAGGGGGCCTGAATCCTTCCAAAGGAAATTGGGGGGGGGACTGGAAGGGTGAGACACCCCCAAGGCCCAGCACCAGCCTCGGCAGGCCAGAGCCGGGTCCCCCCCTCCCGCAGCCGAAGGAGGCTGCACCACAGTTGTGTACATCCAGCCAGTCGCACAAAGTGGGTCCCAGATTCAGGCAGCGTCTGGGGGGGGGGCTCCATCGCTCGCCTGATCAAAGCAGAACTCCTGGACTCTTTTCATGTTTCCCCAGCAAGATTTTGGTTTTCTCTGAGTTCCTCCTGCCACTCCAGCCCTCCACACACACCCCCCACACAAACACACAGAGGAACTTTGTTTGTTTCTGCAACCCCCAACAGCTGGAGAAGTGCTGGAGTTTCGCTCCCGTCCCCGCCCCCGGCCTGAAGCGCTGGGCTCCCCCGAAGCGGAACCGAGGAACTGGCCCTGATCCAGCAGGCAACAAGCCCGGATTCTTCCCCGGGGCAGCTCCGGGACTCTCCCGCTTCTCCCCCGTGGCTGAGTCTCGCCCTCGGTCCTCTGCCCTCCCCCCTTGAAGCGGTTGAGGGGCCCCTCCCGACCCCCGAGGAGACCCCGGACAGCCCAGGGAAGAAACCGAGGGAGGGCTGGAGAAAAATCCCCAAAGGACCCGAAGGCTCCGATTCTCGATTCTCCTCCTTCACACGTTACGGGGAGAGTCGGCTCTCGGGGGGGGGAGAGGTTGAAGGGGCTCTGATGCCGGGAAAGGTGGAAGGAAAGAGAGGCAAAGGAGGAGAAGCAGGGAGGGGGAGGCGCTCTGTTGCAGTGGGGGGAGGGGGATGCTGAGGGAGGACCTGGGGGAGTGGGGGGAGGGGTCTCCCCAGAGAAAATCTCTCCATGGGGGGTTAAACGTTGACACCAACTTGATGGCAGGTAATCATCATTAGCCTATCCGGTTAAAGGAGATCTCCGGTCTTTTCCCCACCAGTGAAAGCGCTGGGGATGGTGAGGACTAAACAAGGGTTCATTTCATGGCTGTTCAAAGTTACAAGGGCACTGAAAAAACTGACTCTTCTTTTTAAACTTTTTTGTTGTTTTAATGTATTTTTTTAATAATTTCATGTATATATCTGTGTTTAGCTTTGTGTATCCAACCCAGTCACTTGTTGTGAGATGAGTGGTTGTATAAATTTGATAGCGAGATAATATAGAGGGGGTGGTAGAGAGATAGATAGAGATGATAGAAAGATGATAGAAGAGATAGATAGATAGATAGATAGATAGATAGATAGATAGATAGATAGATAGATAGATAGATAGATAGATAGATAGATAGATAGATAGATAGATAGATAGATAGATAGATAGATAGATAGATAGATAGAGATAGATAGATAGATAGATAGATAGATAGATAGATAGATAGATAGATAGATATATGGATGGATGGATGGATGGATGGATAGATAGATAGATAGATAGATAGATAGATAGATAGATAGATAGATAGATAGATAGATAGATAGATGGATAGATAGATAGATAGATAGATAGATAGATAGATAGATAGATAGATATGATAGATAGATAGATAGATAGATAGATAGATAGATAGATAGATAGATAGATATGATAGATCGATGATATATATAGAGAGATAGAGAGATATGGATAGATGAGAGAGAGATGAGACAGAGAAAGAGAGATAAATAGATATATAGACAGACAGACAGACAAGATAGAGACAGATGTAGATAGACATAAAGAGATGAGAGAGATGAGGGGGTGGCAGGGAGAGAAAGAGGGAAAAGGAAGGGAAGGAAAGAGAGAGGGGGATAGAGAGATAGAGATAATAAATAGATGAGAGAGAGATGAGAGAAAGAGGATAGACAGACAGACAGAGGTAGATAGATAGATATATAGACAGATAAGATAAAGAGGGAGAGATGTAGATAGATACAAAGAGATGAGAGAGATGAGATGGAGAGAGTGGGAGGGAGGGAAAGAGGGAGGGAACAAGAGAGAGAGAGAGAGAGAGAGAGAGAGAGAGAGAGAGAGAGAGAGAGAGAGAGATGGGGAGAGAGAGAGAGAGAGAGAGAGAGAGAGAGAGAGATGGGGAGAGAGAAATCCTGGGATAGGATAGGATAGGATAGGGATAGAGTTAGGGGGGTCTTATGGGAAACAGAAGGAGACAATCTTTCCTAGGCAGCAAAAGGAGGGAAAGAAAGGGAGCAAATGGATCAGTCTCTAAGGAAGGATTTGGCCCAAAGGCTTTGAATTAAAGTGGTTGGAGTCTCCTGGCCTTTCTCCACCTTTGATTTCAGTGCCCAGGGGAGACGCCCCAAATGGGAAGCATCCAGAATCTGCTGTGCAAAAATGTAACAGAATAACACAGCTGGAAGGGACCTTGGAGGTCCTCTAGTCCAGCCCCCTGCCCATGCAGGAGAGAGACCCTATACCACTTCAGACAAATGGCTGTCCAGTCTCTTCTTCAAAGCCTCCAGTGATAAAGCCATCACAACTTCCAGAGGCAAGCAGTTCCACTGATTAATTGTTCTCACTGTTAGGAAATTACTCCTTAAATCCAGATCTTCCATCCACTGCTCCTCGTCCTGCCTTCAGGGGCTTTGGGGAATGGCTTGACTCCCGCTTCTTTGGGGCAGCCCCTCAAATATTGGAAGACTGCTATCCTGTCCCCCCTCGTCCTTCTCTTCGTTAAACTAGACTTACCCAATTCCAGCAACCGTTCTTCGTATGTTTTAGCCTCCAGTCCCCTGATCATCTTTGTTGCTCTTCTCTGCTCTCTTTCCAGAGTCTCAACTTCTTTTTTTGATCATGGCGACCAAAACTGGTTGTGATATTCCAAGTGTGGCCTTACCAAGGCCTTGTAAAGTGCTATTAAAACTTCAGGCGATCTTGATCCTCTCCCTCTGTTAAGGTAGCCTAGGACTCTTAGGGAGATTGGAGTCCAGTGGGGCTGACCCCCTAGTTCCCTTCTCTACTTTATGGGGGAGAAAGTTGTCTGCTAGGTTCATCAGGAGCCTGCTGGATCTCCCACTAGGCGCAAAAAACTGTCTCCCGGTTGATGTCAGGGTGGTCAAAGTCCCCCATTGCTATTTTGCTCTGCTTTCTCCATGCCTTAGTTAACTGATTAAGAAAAAGTTCATCTATTTCCTCGGTTGGGTTGGGGGCTTTATAGTACACACCAATGGTGATGTCGTTCTGTTTTCCCTTTTTTAACCCAAATGCTTTCAAGGAGATTTTTGTCTTTGTTCTGTAGCATTTCTGTAGTTATTTCTTATATATAGTGCAACTCCACCTTTTATTAAGTCTGTTTCTTTTCAACACTTTAAATATTAAAATACTAAATTTAGTAGATGGAACAGTAAAGTGGACAATGGGCCGGGACACAGAGTTGTAGTTGATTGGTTGGAGAGTGCTGGCTCCTGTATGAGGTTATGTATGCAATGATTGGTTGCTGTGAGTGTAAAGGGGGCGTTTCCCCCTTTTCCCCCGCCCTTTGCTCCGTCTGCTGATTGGTTTATCTCATGATGTTCCTGTGTTGCTGATTATCTTTTCTGCTGTGAATATAGATGCTAAATAGATTTATATAACACTACAGGTTTGTGTCATTTGGACAGCTGCTGTGCAATATAAATGTTATATATATTGATGTAAAACTACAAGTTTGTGTCATTGTCTCCCACTTCATCTGAATAGCTGCTGCGCAATTCCTCGACATTAAATCTCTTAAATTGTGTCTTTCAGTTGTGGGTTTCATCCCACTAAGTTTCGGTGATTGCAACGTCAGACCTGCCTTTGGGTTTCACGTTTTCCCTGGTTTATTCCTCGTACTTTGAGCATTGGTGTAGAGGCATCTGAGTCCCTTTTGAATGATCCTGTTTGGTTTCCACATCCCCTCTTTTGTGTCCAAGTTCTTCTTTTTCCTTTCCATTTGGTTGATTGCCCAATGGATTGCCCGTATCCCTCCCCCTTCGGTTTCAGTTTAAGACCCTTCAGATAGGACAAGCCAGTTGGCTTCCAAAGACGACATTCTCAGTTCTTGTGAAGTGTAGCTCATCCCCTGCCAGAAGCCCCTCATGTGGGTATTGTAGACCATAGTCCAAGAATCCAAAGTTCTCTCGACAGAACCATCCTCTAAGCCAGGAGTTGACTTCAAAGGCTGTGCGTATCCTCATTGGATGCTGACCTTTATTGGGAGTACAGAAGGGAACATGACCTGTGCTCCCATATCTTTGGCTTTGATCCCTACCTGCTCATAATCTCTTGATATTGTTTCCAGAGACTTTGTGTATCATTCATCCCCACATGAAAGAGGAGAAAGGAATAATAATCTGTGGATTATTTTTAGTAAGCCTCTCACACTCACATCTTTGATAGTTGTTCCTGGGAAACAGCTAACTGCTAGTCTGACTGTCCATTCTACAAATTGCTGGTTCAGTTCCTCTGAGCAATAAATCCTCAATCACCAACACACAACTTTGTTTATCTTAAGGAAGTCTGGTCTGATTTTTTTTCTGCAATTGATACATGTGGTGTTGCCCCTTTTCCAGGTGCCGTAGGCTCTCCTTCTGGGGGGGGGGGTATTACTGACAGGAGCCCAAGTCTTCTCTGTGTTCGAGACAGTTCCTCCACCGACCTATTCTTTATGTGCCCCAGATGAGGAATGGAAGGGGAAAAATCAGCCCTTGGAGATAGATAACAGGGGAATCCTGCAGAACCAGTCTGGATGGCTTCTGGAGGGGGCAAGGCACAGTGGGAGAGCTATCTAGGGGCATCTAGGGGTGCTGGGGAGAAGGGAGGGGTCTTCCATTCAGAGTTGCCCCCTTGATCTTTCCTCTCTCCGCAGAGCTGCTCTCCCTCCCCCCCCCCCCGATGGCAAATGTCTCCTACACCAGGAATGACTTCGGCTGGACTTTCTGCTCTGGCCCCAAGAGGCCCTGGGGAAGACACCCTTCCCAACACCCCCTGCCCAGGAGCCCTCAGACCAGGGAGATGGACATCAGGGCGACCTTCCCAGAGATCAAGGCCATTGGCCACAAGACCACTCAGGGCCTTTTTTGTGGGGGGGGTCTCAGATGAGCTCCGGTTGGGGGCTACACAAGACTCACCCAGGACTCTCTCTGTTGGAGACCCTCTGCCCAGAGGGAGGGGGCTTCAGACCCGAAGGCAGGAAGGGCTGTGGGGCAGCAGTGGCGATAGGTGGGCAGTCCTGGAAAAGGCCTCTGGGGTCTCAGGTGGAGGGAGGGAGGCGTTGGGTGCCAAAATGGGGCAGGACCCTCCAATTGTGAAGGAGAAAAATGGCAGAAATGGCTGGGTGAGTATAGGGGGAGTCACGGGTGTCCCCCAATGGCTCCCCACAAATGGTTGAAGGGGACCCTGCCTCCAGGCATCATGGTCCTCAAATGTAGGGTTGAAGAGAAGCACAGAAAGGGGGCCCTGAGCAGGAGGGGATTCCTGCCCCTTCCCCTCCCTGGATCTGCCCACCCTCCTCCCAAACCAGTTTTGACTTCAGACCTGAAGTAGTTGGGATGGTTGATCAGAGGCAGGGGAGGTGTCAATCTGGGGAGGGGAAGGGGAGAAGCAACAACCCTCCTGCGGGGAAGAGGGAGGAAAGAGGAGGAGGAAAAGAAAGGAAGGAAGGACGAATTCCAGGATTTTTCCTACAATGTTTATTCTTTTATAGCAAAGCGAAGGGAAGGGATTCGGACGAAGAGTAATGAAGATGAAGCTGCTGTGGATTTAAAGTCAGGAGAGATTTGGGTGTCTGGACTGACAGGCAGTTCCAGAGTCCCTGGGGTCAGTCTAGATGGACTCCACCTCTCCCTCACAAGAAAGCCAGAGTGGTCTCAGCAGGAAAAGCTCCAGGCTGCCATTCTCCTCCTCCCCCCAATCTAAAATCTTGACCCTCCATTTTTCAGAGGTTGCAAAAAAGAGACAGAAATTCATCAGCTAATGGAAAAAAGCCCCTTCCTTTCCCACAAGGAAGCAGGAAGGATGGCAGAATTAATTCATGAGTGCTGTAGAAAAAAAGAGATGGGGAGAAAATTAGAAAATAAAGTGAAACCAGTGTAAATAGCTTATTATTCCTCTCTTTCAGCCACCCCCCCCAGACAGGCCCACATTGCAGGGGGGTGGTTGATGGGTAGGAACAAAGTGAGGGAGTTTCCACCCCCTTTTTTTTCAGAGAGGAAAAGGATGCAAAGGATCAACAATTCATTTTCAGAGGCTTATGGAATTTACCCCAATTGACTTAGCTGGGGGGTTAATCAAGAAAGGAGGTCTCCCTCCCCTCAGACGTTTCATATTAACAAAGAAGATGGGGCCAGGATGGGGAGTAGTAGAAAACCTGGGTGTCGCTTTGCCAGAAATTGTGTGAAATGTCACAAGGAGACTTCCCTTCTCTTTTGCAATTTCCCAAAACCTGGAAATCTCCTGGGCCAGATTTTAGTGTTTATGTGTGTGTGCTTGTTTTTCATTGCACTGTTTTCAGGTCTCTGTAATGAAAAGCTGCCCAAAATTTCAAAAATTTGTGTTATCCACAGGTAGGAGGTTTTGTTCGGGCACATTTTTCTTTTAAAGGAACAATTAACAAATATTAAAGAAACATCTATAACTTGACGAGAAACTCACCTGCAGGAGGCTGGATGGGAATTGCTGGAATGAGAAAAAGACCCAATCAGGACCCTTTGTGGGATGGAGGACTCAGGGGGGGCTCCCTATCGATAGCCCATAATAGTTTGCAGGATGCTCACTTATACAATAGACCCTCAAAGAACAGAATTTCCTAAGCAAATTTCCAGGGGGGGCCTCCTTGCCATCTGCTAAGCTTGCTGAGAGGCCTCCCCTGGATGGTCCCCTCCCCACAATCTCTTATCCAGCCTCCCCAGACTCACCTTTCTTGCTCTTCAGGTAGAGGGAGAGCCCCATGGCAAAGAAGATCACCCCGATCACGGCTGCCACGATCCCCGTCCAGAGTTTGCTCTTGGCAGAATTGGAGGATCGGGGCTCTGGGGAAGGAGAAGGAGCTTCACTGAGTAGGAAGATCAGGGCCAGCTCCCCCGCCCCCCAGGAGGGTCCATCCCAGCTCCCCCGACAGAGAGGGTCTCTCCCCCCTTCTCAGGACAGGAGGAGGTCCCCAGAGGGGGAGGGGAGTGGCTCACCCCACTGGACGGTGATTGGGGCTTCCAGGCTGGCATGCTCCACCTGGCAGGTGTAGACGTCCCCTCGCTGGGGCTGGGTCTCCAGCATCACCTGGAGCTGGTAGGTCCAGTCTCCATTCTGGAGCTCCTCCCCGAAGGCCACGCCCTCCTCCTCTGGCCGCCCGTTCTTCAGCCACCGGACCTCAATCTCCACAGGGTAGAAGCCCCTCGCGATGCAGAGGAGGATGGTGTGGGGGGAAGCGGGGTCCAGCTTGGTGGGGGAGATGGAGACGGTGGGCTTGGCTGGAGGGTAGGAGGGGGAGGAGGAGAAGGGACATGGGGGGGAGACACAGGAGGGACCAGAACAGGAGACCAAGTTGGTTAATTCAGGCCAAGAGCCCTTTTCAGTCCTGAAAATAGTATTTGTTTTAAGTCATTTCCAAAGCAAATTGCAGCAAGAAGTTAAATGGGATCCTGAAAGATGGAAAAACATAAATCGTTCCTGGTTGGGATCAGTTTCCATCATCAAATTGCACAAGTCCAACAGAAATAAATACTGGAAACGCTCCGGAACGGAAGGAATTTCCTGCCAGATTTGGGGGAGACGGAAAGAGACCCAGAAGACAGGGAAGACACACAGCATGTTTTGGAGAATTGCAGGGATCCCATTCAAAAGAAAACCACATTTTTTAAAAAATAGGTAGAATACCGGAACATTTATTTATTTATTAAATTTGTTTGCCACCATCTCATGATAAAATGACTCTAGGCAGCTTACAGCAGGGCTTTTCAACTGGTGGTATGTGTATCACCTGTGGTACATGAGCACATGACAGATGGTATGCTGCCCTGCCCAGTCAAGTGTAGTGGGGGAGGGAACGGGCCAGCACAGGGAAGGACTTACTATGAGAGAGTCCTCTGGAGCTGCAGAGTGGCTGGGGTGAGGCAAAGGTCCCAGGCTCACTTCTGGCTCACCCCCCTCCCCCATGAGAAAGGAAGAGGAGGGTGCGGAGACAGGAGAGGCTATAAAAGGAGGCAGTTTGGGTCGGGAGAAGGAGAGAGAGAAAAACAAGCAGCCTTGGGAGGAGGTGGAGTCAGCTCTAGCTGCACAGAATGGAAAGAAGGAGGAGGGTGGGGGGAGAGGAGAGGAGATCAAGCAGGCTGGCCACAAGTGGATCTACAACTTCTGTGGCAGCCACCTGTGCTGGGAGCAACCAAGAGGCAAGGAACATAGGGAGGAGGGTTGCTCTCCACGAGGAATGAAGAAAGGCAGCAATGAAGAAAGGCAGCAATGAAGAAAGGCAGCACGGGTAGAGGTGAGGCAAGGAGGGAGATGGAGAGTGGAAGGATTCTTTTGTCCTTTTGTGACTTTGAAGTTCTGGGATTTGTGCATTGGGGATTTTGTGTTCTTAAGGAGTGTTTGGCAATTTCTATTTGGCTGATGGCTGATGTCTCATGTTAGCTTCTACTGCTCTGCTATTCTTAGGTGTAAGATTTGCTGCAAGGGATTTTGAAGTATTTTTCTCCTGAATGGATTTTGCCTGTACTTACAAATGGAGACATTTGGGGAGGCTGCCTTAGCCAGCAGCCATACTTACTACATTTTTTTCTTCCTTAAGTACCAACTGCACTCCTTAACTTTCCTTTTTAGCCAGTAGCTAATTCTTAAAGGGGAATACACCTTTTTAAGCTAGTTCCCTCAATGGCTTGTCTTTTCTGTCTCTGGCGGCTTTTCCTTGTTCAATGAATATATGGAAGAAGGGAAATTGGGGGGGTCAAATTCGTCCTTCAGAAGGAGATGGGAATGAGAAAGAGGGAGGGAGGGAAGGAGGGAGGGAGGGAGGGAAGGAAGTCCCGCCTTAGCACTTGGCCACCAGCAGCCCTGCCAATGACTTTGCTTGTCAAAAGGTTGCAGAAGGGGATCACATGACCCTGGGACACTGTGGCTATCATAAATATGAATCCGTTGCCAAGCATCCAAATATAAATTACATGACCCTGGGCATGCTGCAATGGCCATAAGTGTCAAAAATGGTCATAAGTCATTTCAGTGCAATTGCAACTTTGAACACGGGGATTTTTTTTTGGTCATCAAGTTTTTGACACCTTGCTAGGTGGTACTCGAATCTTGCCATATATCCTAAAAGTGGTACAATCAGTCATCAATAGGTTGAAAAGCCCTGACTTACAGCATTAAAACATTAAAATCCTAACAGATAAATATTTCTATAGCAATCAAAATGGAATTCCCAGTCAAGATAAAATTATAGTTAAAAGATGGGGAGGAACAAGAGGTGTGAGGGGGGAGGGGGGATTGCCTCTGAATTCAACAACCACCTCCAGTGTGAGGCTCCCCATTGGGACCCCCTGATTTTGAGCCAGATTTCGCCTAATCTGTACTTGAACCTTTGGTTTTTTCTGCCCAGTTTTTCCCCCCCCAACCTCTCCCTGCAGCTTCCGGCCTCCCTCCCAGCCCCATTTCCCCTGGGGAAGGAGGTGGGGAGGGGTCCGACCCTCCTGCCTGGGATGGGGGGCAGGGAGGGGTCTAGGACAACTCAGCCAACTCAACACAGCACAAAAGTTACACAATATGGAAGAAATGGAGAAAGAGAATCAGGAAAAAAAAAAAGGGAGGCCTAGGGAGGAAAGAAATGAAATGTGAAGGACAAAAATTTAAAAAACATTTTTAAAATTATTTTAAATAATTAAATAAAATTGTTGAATTGTCCTGCAGTGAATTGCCCCATTCCGGACAGGGAGGGGGAAAATGATCTGGGGGGGATCTTGGGGAAAGGGAAGGTGGGGGCAGTTGGTGGCTGAGGAGATCAGGCAGATCCCAGGATTACAGAAGAGGCTTGGAAGGGATCCCTCTTGATCTCCTCCTTCAGCAAATGGCACAACTCTTGGGTGGATTAATGGGGAGGTGGGCTGAGTGACCCCCCCAAGAGGGTCCTTCTTAGATCCACTCCAGATCAGAGAACTTTTGCTAGCAACGTTTCTCTCCGTTCAGGGATTCTCTGATGAACAGCTCATTATATAAAGTTTAAGAACCTGCAATTTTTAAAGGTTTGGTTATTTGTAATTGAATCCTGGGATCCGGTCAGGATTTTTTTATGAACAATTAATTATCCTCCTAGGTTTGCAGGGAAGAATTTAGGAGTAAAAATAAATTCCAGACTGAATATGCGGAGAACAAAATCTGTGTCGGTTCCCCTTAAATATTCCATAATTTCCGGAAGGAGCAGATGCCCAGCTTCACCTGGTAAAATGCCTTTTTCTCTTAGGATCTGGCGGTTTTTCTCTTGTGGAAGAAAGATCTTATTTAATTCTTTGGTAGCCTATTATTTTGGGAGACCCTGGCAACAACAAATGGCAACAACTGCAGATGAAACACTTGTTTTGCACAATGAAACCTTATCGGTTGATAGAAATAAATAAGGTTTTTTAATATAAACAAATAAAACTAGACCAACAAACGTAGGCAATTTGCCAGGAATCTGGAACAGGGAACTAAACAATCTGAGGCTTCAGGGCTGAATGAATGCCTGAAATTCAGTTTTAATGTTTGTGGGGGTTTTTTGAATCCTTGCCCCCAAATGAGGAACCTTCCCAGATACGAAGAGGGAAGCGATTCAGCTGCAGGTGAAGCCGAGTCTCTGACCAAAAAGGGGGTTTCAGGGGGGGGCTTTTCTCCCAGACCCCCAACATTGGATGAAGAAATGACTCTGAATAAAGGATAAAAAGAACTAAAAGAGGGACAGGGCCCAGCAGAGGAAAGAGCCTTCCCTGATTCCCTTTTCCAGACCTTTGGAAGTTCACTTTTTATCCTAAAATCCCAAAGGCCCCAGAGGTGAAGGGAGCCCCTCCCCCACTCCTGGCCTTCCGGAAAGGGGGGAAAAGGGGGCTCTGGGGCTTTTGTTGGGGGGGGCAGAGAGGAGGAGGAGGCAGCCGTGAGGCCGGTCAGCCTTCTGAAGCCCCCCTCCCCTTTTCATGAATTTTTATCACTGGATTTTAATCATTCCTGCCTTTTAAATCTTAAATTCTATAGATGATTTTGGTGGTTTTATATTTTATGTGTACACCAAGAAAAGTCGTTCTGTTAGAGAGAGAGACGGTTTTAAAAGTTGATAAGTAAATCAATAAAGAAATATTATTGATTTATTAATATAAATAGTATATTAAAATATTATATAGCATATCGATTATATTGAAATATAGCTATATAGAGGGCAAGACATTGCTGGATTCCTCCCCCCTCCAAAAAATATAATATTTGGTATAATTTTCTGGAAAGAAGTTTTTCTGGGCAGGGGAAACTTTGGACCTTGGGAAGAGAAGGAAGTTGATGGGAGGGATGGGAAGGAGAGGCATCTATTTCTTCCCTTTGGCATGTTTCATTGTCATCCTTGTAGAATTTCAAACTTTTTAAAGGTAATTTAATTTTTAACCTTATTTTTTATACATTTTTATTTAAGGGTGATGTTATAGCCTACTACGCCATAAAGATCCCTGCTTTGAGGGAGGGAGGTGAAGGGATTAGAAGTATCTAATCTCTTGGGAAAAAAGGGGGTGTAGTCATCTATGTTAAGCAAAATTTATCAGTTTGTTTAGTAGACTCTGATCCTCAAGGGAGATATGTAATGATTGAAGTGGGATTGTATGGGAAGAAAATACTTATAGTAGGTTTGTATGCCCCAAATCAACAACAAGAACAATTTTACAGGTTGTTACATCAAAAACTGACTCTGTTGGATTATAGATCTGTTATATTAATGGGAGATTGGAATGGAGTTATAGACACATATAGAGATAAAAAAGGATTTTCTACTTCTTTTAAACAGGCTAAATTACCTAAGGCCTTTTTTGATTTGAAAGAGGACTGGGAGTTGCGAGATTATTGGCGAGAATATAATATGGAAGAGAGAGACTTTACCTTTTTTTCGGATAGACATCAATCTTTTTCAAGAATTGACTTTTTTTTTATTACAACAGACTTATATTTTAGGGTAAAGAATGCAAAGATATTTCCAAGGACATTGACAGATCACAGCCCAGTGTGGATGGAATTGGCTACTGAAAAAGAAGAGAGGAGATTTTGGAGGTTGCATGAAAATTTATTTAGACAAGAAATGAATGTTCAGAAACTTAAAGAGTCTTTAAAGGAATATTTTGTTTTAAATATGCATAAGGGAACTTCAATGGCAACGGTATGGGATGCAAGTAAAGCTTATATGCGCGGGGTTCTGATACAAATGAATAAGGCTTATAGACAGAAACAGGTGCAAAAACGTAAGGAGTTGGAAGATGAGATTAAATTAAAAGAAAAAGATCTAATTTTGAATCCTACAGATGAGAAGGTTAAGGAATCTATAAATTTGCTTAAAACGCAATTTAATATGTTAAAGGAGGATCAGACTGCAGCCAATTTACTTTATATGAAACATAATACATTTTGTAATGCTAATAAGCCAGGGAGATGGCTGGCTTATCAATTGCGAAAGAAACAGAAGTTGAGAATTATAGATAAAATAAATCATAATGGTAAATTGGTATATCAGAAGGAATTGATTAAGAAATCTTTTCTAGATTATTATACAAAATTATATATGGGTAGGAAAGTACAGGCTTTAGGTATAGATAATTATTTACAAGATGCTCATTTTCCTAAGTTAACAGAAGATCAGAAACAAGAAATTAATGGATTGGTTACTATAGAGGAAATTGTTACAGCAATTAAACAATTAAAAGTAGGTAAAGCACCAGGTACTGATGGACTGACATCAATTTATTATATGACTTTGATAGAAGAGATGATAGAACCTTTAAGGGAACTTTTTAATAATATATTACAGGGATCAGAGACCCCCCTGTCTTGGGGTAGAGCTTTCATATCCTTGATCCCAAAAGAGGACCAAGATCTTACTCTACCAAAAAATTATAGACCTATATCTCTTCTGAATGTAGATTACAAGATTTTTTCGAAAATTCTAGCTAACAGACTTATGACTGTGTTGAATCAACTAATACATATGGATCAAACTGGTTTCATAACTGGAAGATATATGAAGAACAATGTTAGACAAATTATTAATTTAATAGAATATTTGGATAAGAACAACCAGATTTCTGCAGGATTGATATTTCTAGATGCTGAAAAAGCTTTTGATCAGTTAAATTGGCAATTTATGTTAAGATTGGTTGAGGAAATGAATTTTGGAGATAAAATTTTACAGGCTCTTCAAGCCATTTATCAAAAACAAACGGCACAACTTATAGTTAATGGAGGTTTGTCAGAGGTACTTCCAATTGAAAAGGGGACCAGACAGGGTTGTCCATTGTCGCCTTTGCTGTTTGTTTTAACCTTGGAAATTTTACTGATCAAAATTCGTGAATCACCTAAAATAAAAGGAATAGAAATTAACAAAAATGATTATAAATTAAGGGCTTTTGCAGATGATCTGGTTGTTACTTTGTCTCAACCAACTTATTCTGTAATGGAGTTGCTACAATTGATAAATCAGTTTGGACAAGTTTCAGGTTTCAAGATATAACAGTAAGACTAAAATATTGTCAAAAAACATGACCAACTTGCATAAGGAGACCTTAGTTAGACTGACAGGTTTCGAGGTTGTTAATAAGGTAAAATATTTGGGGGTTATTTTATCTGCTTCCAATGCAAAAATGTACAAAAATAATTATGAAAGGCTGTGGTTTAAAATACAAAAGGACTTAAATAATTGGAAAAAGCTGCAATTGTCCCTATTGGGGAGAATAGCAGCGATTAAAATGAATGTCTTGCCAAAGTTTCTTTTTTTATTTCAAATGATACCTATTTTGAAGAAAGAAGCAAATCTAGATGAATGGCAGAAAGGTATCAATAAATTTATCTGGGCAGGGAAAAAACCAAGAGTAAAACTTAAAATTATACAAGATATACGAGAGAGAGGTGGACTCAAGGTACCGAATTTGAAATTGTTTAATGATGCTGTGGTTTTAACATTAATCAGTGATTGGGTTAATTTAACAAATGTAGATATACTCCTTTTGGAGGGGTGGGATTTATTATATGGATGGCATGCCTATTTAATTTATAATAAAAAGGTTGACAGGGTTTTTAAGTCTCATATTTTAAGAACTTCTTTACTTCGGGTTTGGAAGAAATATTATAGAATTGACTCAAGAATTCCATTATGGGCTATTCCATGGCATGCAATAGAAGGAATAAGGACAGGAGTAAAGATGGATAGTATTTCTTATATACAATTACTTAAGTGGGATGGTAAAAATTGGCAATTAAAATCCATAGATGAATTAGCACAAGAACATATTAATTATTCATGGTTTCAGTACAGACAATTATTGGAAAGGTGGAAGATAGATTATAAAGTGGGTTTATTTAGAGAGGATGAGAACTTGCTAAAACAAATTAGAGATCAAAGTCGAACCCATATAAAAAGAATTTATGGTGTATTAGTGGAATTGGATTCAGAAGCAGAACTAGTTAAAGATTGTACGGTTAAATGGGCTCAAAATTTTGATAAACCGATTTCATTAGATACATGGGAGATTATTTGGGTGAGGAATGTTAAATTTACACAAGCGCAAAATTTACGGGAAAATTTCTATAAAATGTTTTATAGATGGCACCTTGATCCACAAAAAATGTCTCGTATGTATTCAAATTTGCAGCCTAAATGTTGGAGATGCGGTTGCTTGGATGCAACGTATTATCATATCTGGTGGTCATGTAAAAATATAAAAGCTTTTTGGATTAAGATATGGTGGAATATTCAAAGAATTTTTAAAAAGGATAAAATTTACTCCACAATTGTTTTTGTTGGGTATTGTTTCTGATTGTGATGACAAAGAAATTATTTTAATGTTAAACTTAATTACAGCGGCAAGGTTGTTAATAGGACAATATCGGAAGAAGGAATTTTTGCCTACTTTGCAGGAATGGTTTTTTAAAGTTTCTTACTTATCTGAAATGGCAAAAATTTCGGCTTTTTTGAAAGATCAATCGCAAGAGAAGTATCTTTTGGTGTGGAAAAGATGGATAAATTTTATACAATATAAGTATGATATTAGAAAATATTATTTAGCTTTTGAATAATTTATATTTAAAGTTTAAGATATTATTTAGAAGTGTAGAATAGTTTTTTTTTCTTTTCATTATTTTTCTTATTTTCTTTTTTTTCTTCTTTTTCTCTTTCTGTTTTTTATATATAATGGAGTTAAAGTATTTAACAATTCGTTTATTGAATGTAATCATATTTGTTTGAGGTGTATTGAGTTTAAAAGTTTTTTCTTTTAAGTTCTGGTTAACCCCGTATTCAGCTCTGGGAAGAATGGGGGAGGGTTTGGGGGAGGGATTGGGAAAGGGGTTTTTATTGTAAAATTGTAAAAATTTATAATAAATAAATAAATACCAATGAATAAATTCGATTGATCGGAAAGCACAGAATAAAAAAGGGGCAAATCTTTCTCCGGGAGAGTCCTAAGAAAAGAAAGGAAAAGGGGGGGGTCCCTGCATTCCCACCCCCCATGGAACTCCCCCTCCCCCACTCACCTCTCCGGCCAACCACGGGGCCGCCCTGGAGAGTCTCGTAGTTGTGTCGGCAGAAGCGATCCACTTCGGCCCTCTTGATCTGGAGGAGGACTTTATCGCTGTTCCACTGGTCCGCAATGGGCTGCCCCAGCGGAGTGACGGCCACGAATTTCCCGAGGTCGCTGTCGAAGTAGTCCATCTCCTGCCGGTCGTAGAAGACCCGGTACAGGAGTAGCATCCGCTGCGTCCCGTTGAAGAAATGGCACTCGGACTTCGCCTGGAGCAGGAAATGGGCTGTATGGGGGGGGGCGGTGGAGCAGAAAGAAGAAAGCCCTCAGGAGGGACTCCAGGGCCCATGGTTCCCAGCGGCTCCTAGAGGAGGGGCGGAGCGACGGGAAGGCGGAGCAACGGGAGACCTGCCGCGAGGGACTGCCGGAAGGCGCCCCCTGGAGGAGGGATGGGGAACTGTCGGTCCCAGCGGGATTCCCCCTTGGTGGAGATCTGGAGGGGGGAGGAAAATGAGGGAGGGGGAAAGAGGGACCCCCCTCCATCTCCCCAGGGAGGAAAAAGGCAGGCAGAAGTTCAGCCGGTCCAGGCCTCCGTCCGTCTGCAGGGAACGCTGCATCCCCCCCCCCAAAGCGGCAGGAAATATGGGGGGAGGGAAGAGACCCCCCCTCTGGGCTGGAGGGGAAATAATATCCAAGCTTCTCTCTCCCTCTCCCTTTTGGGAGCAGAAGGGAAGGGGGGGTCACAAGAAGGATACCCACACCCATGCTCCTGGGCTCTCCCCACCCTTCAACCCCCACCTTTCCTTTCCCCCCTCCCCCCATCTTCAGCCCCACAAGCTGCCTTTGGGTGCTTTTCCAGGCCACTTTTCCGTCCCCCTCCCCCCCGCAGCCCCCAAGACCACCTCAAAGGGAGGGGCTCCAGCCCCCTTCACTAAAGGGGGAGTTTGCAGGAGCAACTCAGACCCCCCATATCCCTCCCAATAGAGGTGGAGAAGGTGAGGGAGGGGAAGATTTTCATTCTTGGGGGCTGCAGCTTTAGAGGGGTGTCCAGGGGGGGGTTGTGGACTTCCTTTTTCGCCCCCTCCCATGAATCTGAACCACAATCCCCCTTTCTCTATGTGCCTGGAGGGGTGGACTAGATGCCCCTTTAAGCTCCCTTAAGACCCCCCCCCCATGGGGAGTCCAGGCTGGGACAGCGGAGATTACGGAAGGGCCGAGGCCAGCGGGGGGGGGGAGCCAGGGTGGTACCTCCGGAGACCCTCCCTCCCCCTAGTCTCGCTTGGCCCAAAGGGCCTTTTCCGAAAGGCAGCTGGACTTTCCTGGTTCTTTCCTTGAAGACGTTTCGCTTCTTATCCGAGAAGCTTCTTCAGTTCTGACCGAAGGGTGGAGGGTGGAAGGACGGATGTTCCTTGCGGTCATTTGGTCATTTTGAAAGCCGGTCCCTGGTTCTCTGAGGGGCCTTGAGGACCCCCAGGGGTTTATCTGGGCCCTCAGGGTCTCCTGAATTGGGGGGCAAAGGGGTGGGGAGCCTTCCTGGGGCTGCTGAAACTCTGTTGAGGGGGACTGCTCAAGTTTGACCTAGATGGCTTGGGGGTCTGGGGATCTTGGAGAGAAGGGAACCCCCAAATTCCCTAGTTACCCCCAAATTTTCTTTCCCATCAACTTCACTCCTACTGTCTGCCTTTGCGTGATTTGGGGATTCAGCCCTCTTTTCTGTCATCCTGCAGCCCCCCAAGACCATCTCAAAGGGAGGGGCTCCAGCCCCCCTCAACAAAAATATCGTTTTGAGTAGGGGAGCAATTCAGACCCCCCACCCAATATCCTTCTCCCTCAGTTCCCCCCTCCCCCCCCAGGATGCAATTCAGCAATGGGGGACTGTGGGGTGGGGGGTTCCGGGTCTCCTCCCCAAATTGAGAGTCTCCCCCAAGAAGGAATCCAGCTCAACTCTTCCCTCCCCTTAAAAAAATGGAGATTCAGAAGAAAAACCGAGGTTGCAAAAACACTTTTGCCAAAAAAAACGAGCCAGGCGCTAATTCGGCGTGCGCGAGGTCCCCCTCCCATCCAGCCACGGGGGGGGGGGCGGAGAGAGAGGGGGTCCAGCTGCCTCTTATCCCATCTCGGCTGCCTTCCCGTGACCCTCGCCCACCTCGGCCATAATTAGGCAACGGGGGGCTCCCTCTTCGTCCTGCGGGGGAAAATGCGGCGAGGGAGGGAGACCACGCGGAGATCGAGGCACCTGCAGTCTCACGCCTCTCTTGCCCTCGACCCCTTTTTCCCACTTCTGGGGTTGCAGCCCCTTCCCCCCCTTCCCCAGGGACACTAACGGCCCCTCCAGCCCCCCTCCGAGCCCCCTCCTTACCGGGCGTCTCCTCCCCCCCTTCGCTTCCGGGGATCCGGGCCAGGGCCCCCGCCAGCAACAGAAGAGGGACCCCAAAGGAGCCCATGGACGCCGCCCCACCAGCGCCCCCAGAGAGCGGGGAGAGAGACGCGAAGGCTCCCAGCCCCAGAGGCGGAATCGGGGGGTCTGGCTTGGGGGGAGGAAGCGGTTTCCTCGGACTTCGGAATCGGGAGGGCCCAGAAAAGCGGAAGGACCAATGGGAATTCTGCCTTCTGCATCGTCATCGGTCTCCGGGCAGAGCCTCCCTTGAGTTCATCCACAGGAGGAGATAGTGCGAAGCCGAGAGAGAAGCGGAGAAAGTTGGAGGGGGGGGGGATCCCTTCAGTCTGGGTGGGGGGGCTGCATTTTAGGGGGGCGTTTGATGCCAGCTCCGGAGAGGAGAGGAAGCGGCACTCGCACGTCCCCTGGTGCAGGAAATGGGCTGCAGGGAGGAGGAGGAGGAGGAGGAAGAGGAGGAGGAGGAGGAGGAGGAGGAGGAGGAGGAGGAGGAGGAGGAGGAGGAGGAAGGGGATCAGGAGGGATTCCAGGGCCCATGGTTCCCAGCCTCCCCTCGAGGAGAGACACAGGCTTGTCAGAGGAGGGGAGGGAAACCTGCCGCGAGAGGCTAACGGAAGGCGCCCCCTGGAGGAGGGATGGGGAACCGTCGGTCCCAGCGGGATTCCCCCTTGGTGGGGGTCGGGAGGGGGGAGGAAAATGAGGGAGGGGAGGAGCTTAGTGAGGGACCCCCCCATCTTCCCCAGGGTGGAAAAAGACAGGCAGAAGTTTAGCTGGTCCAGCACTTGGTCTAAGTGTCTGCAGGGAACCTTTGATCCCGGTGGGGCCTCTTTCCCCCCCAAACTGTCAGGAAATATGGGGGGAGGGAAGAGACCCCCCTCTGGGCTGGAAGGGAAAATAATACCCATGCTTCTCTCTCCCTCTTCCTTTCGGGGGCATAAGGGGCGGGAATCACAATAAGGATACCCACACCCATGCTCCTGGGCTGTCCCCACCCTTCAAGCCCCCCCTTCCCTTTTCCTCTCCCCCCCTCGCCCCCATTTTCATCCCCACAAGCTGCCTTTGGGTGATTTTCGAGGCCTCTTTCCTGTCCCCTCCCCAAAAGACCCCCCTGCAGCCCCCCCAGACTGTCTCAAAGGGAGGGGCTCCAGTCCCCTTCACTAAAGGGACAGTTTTGGGGAGCAATTCAGACCCCCCCAAATATCCTTCTCCCTCAGTTCCCCCTCCCTTCCAAGTCCGAATTCAGCAATGGGGGAATATGGGGTGGGAGGCTCCGGGTCCCCTCCCCAAATTCAGAGTCTCCCCCAAGAAGGAATCCAGCTCAACTCCTCCCTTCCCTTAAAAAAAATGGAGATTCAGAAGAAAAACTGAAGTTGCAAAAACACTTTTTGCCAAAAACCCTCTTTTTCTTATACTTTTGGTGGCTTCTCTGGATTCAGCTCTGAAAATGCCTCAGTTTCCCTCTTTCACTTTCGATTCCCGTCTCCTTCCTCTTTCGTTGCAAGAAACTTTGGGGCTCAGGCGCTAATTCGGTGTGCGCAAGGTCCCCCTCCCACCCAGCCACGGGGGGGGGGCGAGAGAGGGGCCCAGCTGCCTCTTATCCCACCTGGGCTGCCTTCTCGCGACCCCTCTCCGTCCTCCTGAGGGAGGGGGCGGAGACCACGAGGAGATCGAGGCTTCTGCAGGCTCCCACCCTCCACCCCCTTTCCTCCTAATGGGGTCCCAGCCCCTCTCCTCCCCCCTCTGAGCCCCCTCCTTACCGGGGGTCTCCTCCCCCCCTTCGCTTCCGGGGATCCGGGCCAGCGCCCCCGCCAGCAGCAGCAGCAGCATCAGGGGGAGCCCAGCGGAGCCCATGGACGCCGCCCCACAAGCGCCCCAGAGAGAGAAGAGACGGAGACGCGGAGGCTCCCAGCCCCAGAGGCGGAATCGGGGGTCTGGCTTGGGGGGGGGGGAAGAGGCGTTTCCCTCGAACTTCGGACCTGGGCGGGCCCAGGAAAGTGGAGGCACCAATGAGAAATCTCCTTTCTGCAGCGTCATCGGTCTCCGGGCAGAGCCTCCCTTGACTTCGCCCGATGGAGGAGATAGTTCGGCGCAGAGAGAGAAGCGGAGAAAGTGGGAGGGGAGAACAATCCCTTCAGTCGGGGTGGGCGGGGCTGCTCCTTGCTAAACAACATCACCATCAGATGGATCTGTAGCTGGCTGACAAGCCGTACTCAATGTAGTAGTCCCCAATGGCACCACATCCACATGGAGAGAAGTAAGCAGTGGGGCACCACAAGGCTCCGTCTCGTCTCTTCTCTTCTCTTCTCTTCTCTTCTCGTCTCTTCTCTTCTCTTCTCTTCTCTTCTCTTCTCTTCTCTTCTCTTCTCTTCTCTTCTCTTCTCTTCCTATTCTAATTTTAAATGTATTGGTTATAGCTTGCAATGTATCATTCTTCTGCTGCAAATGTATCCGCCCAAGGAGAAAGTTCTGGGCTGCTTGCCAGCAGTTGTGTACTCGAAGCGTAGCCTGTGACAAGCTGTAACTGACCTAACCTGATAGATAAAGAAAACACGTATTCAAACGAAAAAAGAGAACCTTTTAGCCTGTTACCCTGAGAAAGTGCCCTAGCTTTAAAAGTGAAAAAAAAAAAAGATAATGTGTGTGCCTTTTCTCCTCCGTCTCGCTGTGCGTGTGACAAGAAATTGAGACATCGCGCTCTTCTTTGATCAAACAATAAAGCTGTATTCTTTTCCATAGCCTCGTATTCAGAGTCTCTCTGAGATTTGTGTGGATTCTGAGCTGAAAAGCCTCAGGGAATAAAGGGCTGTGACCAGGGCGATTGGGGCTTTCATTGTTCTTCTATGCCTTTTATGATTAATTTGATCAGGAGCATTTTAGATTAAAAATAGTCGATATGTTGGCTAATGCGTTTGAATTTTTTAATAAAGTGGTAGCAGACCAGCGAAATGCTGTGGACGTGGTAGACTTAGACTTCAGTAAGACCTTTGACAAGGTAGACCACAACCATTCCATTCCATGTTCTGTTCTGTTCTGTTCCGTTCCATTCCATTTTCTATTCTATTCTGTTCTGTTCCATTCCATTTTCTATTCCATTTTCTATTTCATTTTCTATTCTATTCTGTTCTGTTCTGTTCTGTTCTGTTCCATTTTCTACTCCATTTTCTATTCTATTGTGTTCTGTTCTGTTCCATTCCACTTTCTATTCCATTTTCTATTCTATTCTGTTCTGTTCTATTCCGTTCCATATTTTATTTTGTTCTGTTCTGTTCCGTTTCATTCCATTCCCTATTCTGTCTGTTCCGTTCCATTTCGGTCCGTTCCCTATAAACTGACCCCAGGGACTCTGGGCCTGCCTGTCAGTCCAGAAGCCCAAATCTCTTCTGGCTTTGAACCCACAGCAGCTTCATCTCCACTACTCTTCCTCTGAATCCCTTCCCTTCACTGTAAAAGAATAAAATTTAAATTGTAGAAAAACCCTGGTATTCCTGCTCCCTCCCTCCCTCCCTCCCTTCCTTCCTTCCTTCCTTCCTTCCTTCCTTCCTTCCTTCCTTTCCTTCCTTCCTTCCTCTTCCGCCTCCTTTTTCTTACCTCTCCAAGAGGACGCTCCCTCCTCCCCTCCCCCTCCCCAAATTGAGACCTCCCCTGTCTCTGGATTGACTATCCAGACTAGTTTAGATCCGAAGCCAGAACCGGTTCGGGAGGAGGGTGGGCAAATCCCAGGGAGGGGAAGGGGCAGGACCCCCTCCTCCTCCTCCATCTCTCCAAGCCCTGCCAGAGGGAGGGGACCCCTGGGAGACCCCCTATTCTGGCTTCCCCCGGAGAGCCTCTTCCGTGGCTGGGAAGCTGCTGGAGCTGGAGGTTCTCCTGGCTTCATCCGGGCCTCTTTCTCCAGGATCGGAGCCGGTTTGAGCCCCTCCTGCCCCATTCGCACCCAGCGCCCCCTCCCTCCCTCCTTCCCTCCCTCTTCGGAGCCCTGATCCCCTCGGTTGCTCCCCTTCAGACAAACTCCCCCCCGTCCATCAACCCACCCCACCAAAGGTGCCAGGGCCGGGCAGGGCGGAGAGCAGGGCAGCCTCCCTGGGGATGGAGGGGGGGGGGTCCCTCCCGGCACCCCAGGATCGTCCTCACTTTGTCTGCCGGTGGGTGAAGTCACAAAGGACTCTGCCCGGAGACTGATGACGCTGCAGAAGGGGGAATTCCCATTGGTTCCGCCCCTTCTTCAGGGCACTTCCAGTTCTGAAGTCCGAGGAAAACGCCTTCCCCCGCCCACCCTCCAGATCCCCCCCTCCGATTCCGCCTCTGAGGCTGGGGGCGTCCCTGGGCTCTGCTGGGTCTCCCTGCTGCTGCTGGGGGGAGGGCGCTGGGCGAGATCCCTGGAAGTGAAGGGGGAAGAAGGGGCTAGGAGGGGGAGGAGGGTCTGGGTGGGTGGGGGCAAGGGCTGGGAGGGACCCCCAGTGCTCCTGTGGGGAGGGGGAGAGAAAGGGGCTGGGCGGGGGGAGCTGAGGGGCTCCGAGGGGCCCTCAGTTCTCCTGGGGTGGGGAGGGGGAGGGAAGAAAGGGGCTGGGACCCCAGACGTGACTTTGGGAAAGGGGTCGAGGGCAAGAGAGATTGCGGGAGCCTCCCTCCCTCCCCACATCCCCCCCCAGGAGGACGGAGAGAGACCCCTCCCTTTGATGGTTGTGGCCGAGGTGGGGAGGGGCCCGCGGAAAGGCAGAAACAGCGCCGTTTGGAGGTTAGGCAGGAATCGGGGGCTGGTCCAGTTCATCTATGGGGGGGCAGTTTTATTTTATTTCTTTTTTATGTCATAGTTTATACCTCTTCAATTCCCACGGAGTTCAATAAAGTGGAAGGAAGGAAGGAAGGAAGGAAGGAAGGAAGGAAGGAAGGAAGGAAGGAAGGAAGGAAGGAAGGAAGGAGATGGGAATGATGAAGGAAGGAAAGGATATGGAAATCAGAGGAAGGAAGGAAGGAAGGAAGGAGATGGGAATGAGGAAGGAAGGAAAGGATATGGAAATCAGAGGAAGGAAGGAAGGAAGGAAGGAAGGAAGGAAGGAAGGAAGGAAGGAGCGATTCTTGAACCAAAACCAACCTATTTGCAGTGGGTCAGAAAACCCCACAGCGCTGGAGGCAAAACCTCCCCTCCAGCAGCCCCTTTGCCAGGAAGGGCCCAAAAGGCAGAAGCTTCCCAGGACCCTGCATGATTGTG